TTTGACTAAGTTCAAGTACTCAATGAGGTTGTCATTCTTGGCCTGGTAGCTTCCCTGTACTTGGGAAGCGACGAGCTGGGAGTCGGTGTAAATTTGAACTTCGCGGGCTCCTAGGTCCTCGGCTAATCTCAGTCCCGCGAGCAGGGCTTCGTATTCTGCCTGGTTATTTGATGTCGGGAAGGAGAGAACCAAGGAGTGCTCGATTACCACCCCTTCTTCGTTTTCCAGGAGGATCCCTGCGCCGCTTCCGGACGAGCTGGAGGCTCCGTCGACGAAGATGGTCCACTTGTGTTCCTTTCCCGGGGGAATAACGTTAGAGGTCATCTCGGCGACGAAGTCGGCCAAGGCTTGTGCTTTCAGGGCTTTCCTGCTCTCGTACTGAATGTCGAATTCAGAGAGTTCCAGGGACCACTTAAGCATTCTGCCCGCCATATCTGGCCGACCCAGGAGTTGTCTCACCGGTTGATCGGTTCGCACGACAATGGTGTGTGCTAGAAAGTAGTGTCTGAGCCTCCTCGCAGCGTTGACGAGGGCCAGTGCAACCTTTTCTATCTGTTGATACCTGCTCTCGGGGCCTTGTAAGGCTTTGCTCGTGAAATAAACAGGTTTCTGCCCGTCGGGAGTCTCGCGGACAAGAGCTGCACTGATGGCTTCGTTTGAAACTGCCAAGTATAGGTAAAGCGGCTCGTTGTCATCTGGTCGAGATAGCACGGGTGGTTGAGACAGGCTCTGCTTCAGATGGCGAAGTGCGTGTTCGCATTCTTCGGTCCATTCGAAGGCTGCTTCCTTTCGTAGGAGTTTGAAAAAGGGAAGGGCGTGCTGAGCGGACTTCGCGACGAAGCGTGAAAGTGATGTCAACATGCCGTTCATTATCTGTATCGACTTCTTCGACGTTGGAGTCGGGAGGTCGGCGAATGCTCGGCACTTGTCGGGGTTGGCTTCAATGCCTCGTTCTGTTAGGTAGAATCCGAGGAACTTTCCTGCCTTAACCCCAAATGTGCACTTCTCCGGGTTGAACCTCATTTTGCATTGTCTTGCTTGGGCGAAGACAGTCTTGAGATGAGCTGCGTGATCGGTGTCTGCTCGAGATTTGACGATCATGTCGTCCATGTATACCTCGAGCATGTCGCCTATCTGTTTGTTGAACACTTTGTTCATCATGCGTTGGTACGTCGCGCCGGCGTTCTTTAGTCCGAAGGGCATCACGTTGTAGTAATAGTTGCCCGAGCTGGTCATGAACGCCGTGCAGCGTTTGTCGCCCGGAGCCATTGGGATTTGATTGTATCCCGAGTAAGCGTCCATGAACGACAAAGTTTTGTAGCCGGCCGAGTTGTCGACCAGCATATCAATGTTTGGTAGAGGAAAAGCATCCTTCGGGCAAGCCCGATTGAGATCGGTATAATCAACACACATTCTCCATTTTCCATTATTCTTTTTGACAAGTACAACATTTGACAGCCAGGTGGAATACCGGGCTTCAGAAATAAAATTTGCCTCTAAGAGGTCTTTTACAGCTTTTTCAGCAGCCTCCGTTTTTTCTGGAGACTGCCTACGCCTACGTTGTACTACTGCCTTGGCGGCTGGATCAATGGCGAGGTGGTGGCAGGCGACCTCAGGGTCGAGTCCGGGCATCTCTGCAGCGCTCCAGGCGAAGAGATCAGCATTCTCGCGCAGACAGGCCTTGATTTGCTTCCTGGCCAAGTCGGGGAGGTCTTTGCCGATCTTCACTCCCTTGGTCGGGTCTGCTCCGAGGGGAACGAGTTCGAAATCACCGTCCGGAATAGGTCGGAGGGGGATTTGCTCGCTGCTGGCCGGTTCGTCTTGGTCAAAACGGGCGTCGAGTGCAATGGAGTCGACCTTTGGTGGAGCCTTCTGAACTTCTACCTCAGGAGATGCTCTGTCGGGCTCTTGCTTTGTCTTCTTGATGGGCCTAGTGCTGGGACCTACGTCGACAGTATCCCGACCCCTTGAAGCGGCGTTGAAGCACCGGCGGGCAGCAGCGAGGTCGCCCTGGATGGTGGCTACCCTCCCCCTCTTGGTATAGAACTTCATCTTTAGGTGGACAGTTGAGGGGACCGCTGTCAGTTCCGCCAATGTCGGCCTCCCCAGGATGCAATTGTACAGGGATGGGCAGTCAATGACGAGGAAGCGGACCTTCACCTGTCTTGTAGCAGTTCCTTCCCCGAATGTCACGAGGAGCTCGACATATCCCCAAGGTTTGGACGTCGAGCCGTTGAAGCCTTGAAGGTCCGAACCTATATATGGAGACAGATGTGAGTCGTCCAGTTGTAAGGTCCGGAACAGCTGAGTGTACATCACGTCGACGGAACTCCCTTCGTCGACCAGGATGCGATGCACGTCGAAATTGGCCATCTTCGCCCTTATCAGCAAGGGGATGACTGCGTTCGGTGCTCCGCCGGGGAGCTCTTCCAAGTAGAATGTGATAGGCTCTGATCTGCCCCTCACCATTTCAAAAGTCACAGTTTGAGGAGGGGCTTTGTCGACCAGTTCGTCCAACTTCCTCTTGGCTGAATTGATGGTGAGGTCGCTGAACCCGCCCCCGTTGATGACCATGGCGGAGGGGAAGTATTCCCACCTGCTGTGTGTAGTCAGGGGCTCCTGCAGGAGCTCGGGAAGTTCGAAATCCTCGGGCCTGGTTATCGAGAAGGCGGTCTGGATTGGCACCGACTCGTCAGATGGTCGGGCATCTTCTTCGGGCTCCTTTGCCTCGCGGGCTTCACGACGGGGAGCGTCATTTCTTCTGTACTGTGCAAGTCTCCCTCCTTTGATGAGGGTTTCAATAGCATCCTTCAGGTGGACGCAGTCCTCTGTCAAGTGACCATGACTCCTATGGTACTGACAGTATTTGTTTTTGTCTACTCCTGGCTTGGCAGGAGCTGGTCGGGGACGCTTGACGCCACCGTCTTTAAAATCTGTGCTCGCACACTCCGCCAGAATACGCTCGCGGGAAGCCGTGAGCGGAGTGTACTCAGTAAACCTGCCCGAGGGGCCCCTTTGTTCCCGGACCTCTCGGGGTCTGTCTTCCTTCCTCTTCTCTCCGGTGCGTCGGGGAGGAGGGTCTTGTCTCGAGCTGCTTCCATGGTTGCGAGCCCTGGAGTCTCGTGCCCTGTTGGCAGCTTCTCTCTCCTCGTAGTCCATATATGCTCGGGCTTTGTCGAGGAGAGCGTCAAAAGTTGCAGGTGGCTCAATGCCCACAGCTTTCCTGAATTCTGTGCCGGGGAGGAGGCCCCTCTCCAGCAAATACCTCTTCATATGGTCCGCGCAGGGGACCTGTATGGCTTCCCGGTTGAAGCGGTTGATGAATTCCCTCAAGGTCTCATCATGTCTTTGAATGATGGCCTCGAGGGCTGCCTCGGTCTTTGGGTGGCGACGAGAGGCTGTAAAGGAACTGATGAACTGTTTCTTCAAGTTCCGCCACGAGGTGATGGAGCCCGGGGCAAGTCCTTTGTACCAGTCCATGGCCGCCTTCCTGAGAGTTGTTGGGAAGAGACGGCACTTGATGGGCCCCCCGACATTGTGATAGTGGAGCATGGCTTCGAACCCATCAATGTGGTCGACTGGGTCCGCCACTCCATCATACTCCTTTAGGTGTGGGGGCTTCTCCATGCCCGGGGGGATAGGTGCGTCCATGATTGCCTGCGACAGGGGACCGCGGGGGTCGTCCTCGTCGCTCCTTTCTGGAGAAAGAGAAGGGGTCCTGTAGTTGTGTCGGGCACGTTGCTCGTGCTGGGATTCCCTTGAACGTGATGTTCGGTGATGGAAGGTCACACGCCCGTCTCTGTTGTGCCTCCGGTCGTGCCTTGATGGGTCGCGAACGGGCTCTTCGGCAGGAATGACGGGCTGTCTTTCATACTGGGGCCGCCTCTGCCTTGGTGCGGGAGAGGGGCTCCTAGAGTTTTCCCTGTGATGTCTCCGCGGGGGAGTAGGGTGTCGAACTTCTTCGACCCGAGGAAGTGGAGATGGTGGCCTTTGATGTCTCCTCGGGGGGCGTCGATCATTTTCCAGTGCCCTAAGTCTTTCTCCTTGCGCGAACAGGAGATAGTTCGTCTGGTTGATGGCCGCGAACAGTGCCTGAGCCGTGGCATCTGCCCCGGCAGGGGCTTGGACTTCATAGAACCGGGCAGCCTGGCGATAGGCGAGAGCCTCCGGATCGTCTTCGAGTCCTGGAGGAGTTGTCGAGGAAGACGCAGTGTTCCCGTCCCTGCGGGTGGAAGGTCCAGGGGCGGTTGTCACGGGGACGGTATTGTGGCCGGCACCACTGGGATTGTCCAGGTGCCCATTCTTGTCCGCGGGACCGTTGTTGGCGTCGAGGACGCGAGTGTGTTGTTCTTCACGAGTTGGAGAGGCCATGACAGTGAATGGATTGAGCTTTGGTCTTTGAAAACTGTTCGTTAGACGGGGAAGCTGTTTCCCACAGACGGCGCCACTGATCATGTCGAGCTGCGCAGCACGGTGCCGAGCTCGACGCCAAGACCTCGAGCTGGACGGCGAGTGTCGAGCTGGAAGCCAGGACAGAGCTGGATGGCATGATGTCGAGCAGGACTTCATCGTGGGGCTGGACACCGAGATGTCGAGGTGGACATCAGGGTGTCGGGCATGGACGTGGCCCCCTTTGCCCTTTGTGGTCCTTAGTGAGTCCCTTTGGACTGGGCCTTAGTAATGCTTTTGGGCCTGTCGGGCCCAGTCCAGAACAAAAACCAACAATAATAATTAAGTGTATATACATTACGTATAAATGCCAACTTCATTCTGTAAAGAGAATGAATGTATCTTAAATATAAAAATGAATAATTTTTTTTGGTAAAAAGAAAATTAATAATATTGAATTAACCGTGGGAGTTATTGTTGAAGCATTGATTTCAATATTTATTATCTATCTAGGAAACTTTTCTGATTCTAGGATTAAAAAAGTCTAATTACACTATTATTTTATTATTATACATTTGATATTAAATGTTGCTCATGAGTCAATCATATAATTTTTTAAAATTTTTTCTTTTTATTCTAATGCATTTCATTTCCAAAAATATATCTCCCTCACGTTGAGAAATGAAAATCTATTTTTTCATGTGAACTATTATAATCTATCACCTGGAAAGGGGCTAATGAAAAGTCACAAAATTATCTTAAATCTCTCTTTCTCTTCGACCAACAGAACCTTCCACCGTTATCCCTGTAAATCAGAGGTTCTATCCCAAGCAACCTCCAATTTCTCTTTTTTTTTTCAGATCATCGATCTCTATGTTGATCTGCGGTTTTCACCGCTCTCCTTCAGGTGTAGTGATTCTGTTTCAGTTCTTCTCCTTCTTATTCACGTCGCCTCTGTTTTCCGATTTCACCGATCATTTCCTAACTCCGTTTTTAGATTTCAATCAATTTTGGATTCTTGAATGGTTTAACGTGTTTGTTTTCCGCAAAATCACTGAATCTAATAGCTAATTGTTTTCCGATTTCACGTGTTGATGCTCTGGAAGCTGCATATTTGATTCAGATATGTTCTGTTTTTCTGATATTTTCAATGCAAATTCCACCGATTTCACGTGTTTTTGCTACATCCTTCAATATTATTGTTCTCAGAATAGATAGCCCTGCAGTTGATGGAAAAAATCAGATCAATTGGAGGTGAAAAGGTAACTTCAGTATCTCAAATTGATTCGAGATCAGTTGTTTCATTTCTTTGCTTAAATTAAATCTAATAGTCTCTCTCGAATAAAACTTGATTGTTTAATTTGATGATCCAGGCCAAAAGGAAAATATAACAACGTTTGGTCCAATCGTATGGGTTGTAAATCTTGAAAAAATTGTTTGCAGGCAGAACTCTCTATTTTCTTTTCTTTTCTTGCAGTAGCATCATTCTCACCAGGCGAGTATTCTGGAACAACAACAACAACATAGAAAACAGAGTAAGCTCTCATAAATTATATGTTATTTTCTGTTTAACAATGTTACTGTTAATTCTAGGCACTAGCTAATATCAAAATGCAGCACTGCTATTTTAACCTGAACTTATTTATTGCTAACTCCGATCTTCATCCATTTATAGTTTCTCCATGGAACTTCAGGATTTCCTTATTCATGCTCGAGTCTTCAAGCTTTACAGACAAGCAACTAATGTTGTTTCATGGCTCAATGAGTAACATTCTTTCTTTCTTTTAAATCTATTAACCTATATTCTTTAGAGTATTGTAATGTCATGGTCTGCATAAGACTATTGAAAGGTCATCTATATCCTTTTGTTACTTAATGAGTTCAGTAGCTGAAAGGGAAGGGTGTAGTAAGCATTTTGAGAAATGCTAGGTTCACACTACGCTCTCTAAGACAATCTTTGGCACGAGATCTTCGGTATTTTGGGCTGGCAACTGCGGGGTACATTTGGCTATAATTTTTTGCAGCTATATATGATTTTCTCTGTCACTAAATTTTAAAAATATATCCTTTATAATATATTTCTATGCATGTAGGGCTGATTTTGGTTTACTGTTGCTGCAGCTTAGTAAGTTGGGCATGCTGGCATGGTCAGATTTTCTGTTAGATTTTTCTGTTAGCACAACTTCATATTTTCCATTACAAAGGCTAGAATGGTTAGCCACTGTTAGAGATTGAATTTAATGGTTGCTACTTGATGAAGTCAGGGCTGAATTGAGGTATTTGTGTAGTATCTTGAGTGTGTAGTTTGTATGTTGGAAACGGTAAAGGCAGTAAATTTTTTTTGAATTGACAATCTATTAATTAATGCATAGAGCAACCAAAAGTCACATAGAAACTGAGAACAAAAAATCAACTGACTTTTTATGAAGATGTCAATTTCCATTTAATGTATATCTGTTCACTCTAGCCTGAGAGGAGATCTAGGGAATGTATTTATCTTGGTCTTCCTATATGCAAGGGTGGTGTGTAGTTTCTCAGTATAAAATATATGCTTTATGCACTATTCCATAATAGTGTGAGTTTTTTGCGTTCACGTGCATTGACCAACATAGCCGTCTTATAAGAGCCTGAAGAACTTGATTAATTGCTTAGAAATTTATGAAAGAACTTTGAAAAGCATGTCAATTTGATGATTTAATATAACTTAGAAAAAAACTAATTACTTTTGATGCAGATTTGTAGACAAATTTGAACCCCAAATTTCAAAGCATGGAAGTCTTGGGAAACAATACTTTTATGACTAGCACTTCATAGTTGTGAGTCTCCTTAATCCATTTTCATTAGAATGATAGCTAATTTAGTCCTATGAATACGGTTTAAATTGTGAAAAATCACGTTTCTATAATAGGTTTTTTGAAAAACCATGATTAGTATAGAAGGGCGTTCCCCTGTTTTCCAGTCCTCCCCATCTGTTGAATAATCTTGATGATATAAATATAAACTTTATATCTACCACCAAGTTCGACGGAAGTAAAAAGATTCTAAAAATCCCAAAGCTTTGTGGCGCAGTTTCATTGCTTGGGAGCATCATAAGAAGAATGGTTGTTTATCGGTTGTTGACAGGCGTACCTTGCTTTTCAGCGATTTGATATGTTGTACAAGTGATGTTCAACTGATCAAAGACAGGGAAATTATAGAAGACAGTTTGGGGAAAAACTATTACCATTCAATTGCAATGGGAGTTGACCATGACATTATTGACCCCAATCATGCCTCTGTGTTCAATGCCTTGAACACATTTCCCTCATCCAATTATGTCATTAAAATCTTTATATTACTGTGCCATTAAAATTTTAGACTGGTGTTACGATATTCATAAAATTTTATAGTGCGGCTACAATTTTGCTGCTACCATTGTAAGTTTTCTCACTGTTAGTGATGTTCAATATCTATGAATCACCTTTATATCTATTTATTCTTTGAAACAATGTGTTAAGTTTTACTTAAATTATAGTGTGTTTGATGAACCTATCTCATTTTGTTTGTATACTATTATGTGTGTTTGTTTTGTACATTTGAATGAAAGGGAAGTTGGAGTCAGTCGTGGACATATGTGTGGAAAAGTCGTGCAACAATGGAGCAATTTTGTAGTGACATGAGAAAAGGGAAATAAGCATCTTAAACCACCTGCTGACTTTGCGATAGAGTTGCTGTATTATCAAATTCTATTTATTTTTTATTTTTTATATATTTGTTGGTCCTAATTATTAGATTCTTAACTTCTATTTATTTTTATATACCATTAATGGATAGAGTAATATTATTAAAACTAATACTATTACAATTGTAGTAGGTTATTCTTTTGTATTGATTTTGTGAGAAAATTATTCTAAGAGAAATGCATAAGACTAAACATATCCTCATAAAAATCACTTATTTACTCTTAGGTTTTCATGAACTTTCCAAAGGTTTTGCGATATATTGGACAAATTATGTCAAGTTTAAATATTTTACACAAGTTATTGTATTATTATTAATTTTTAATCTAATATCTTACTCAATAATTAAGTTTTATAAGCATGTAAAAATATTATCTACAATATCAAACAAATTGTAAATCTAATATAATAAGAAGGATAAAATTGATATTTAACAAGAAGTCGTCATAAATCTTAGGTTCGGAAAAATTAATTAATATCTAAAATGTAATGTTATTTGAATTGGAAAAATAAAATTTTTTTTGGTGTAGTTTTAAAATTAATTCATCTGGATTTATGGGTATATGTGAACGTATCTATGAAATTTTTTTTTTGCTGTTGTATTTATATAAATGAATTGGATGTATGATTTATTATAAATACAAATTGTTCTGGACTGGGTCGGGCTGGCCCAAAAGCAAGGATGAAAGCCCAATCTAAACGGCCTTGCAGGGGGTCATGCCGATCAAGAAGCCATAGCCGTGCCCGACACTCTCCGCTGGTACGCCATCCTCGACCTCAGCTTGAGCGCCCCTCGTAGGTCAAACTCTGACCACTACACCATCACCTGGATCCCGAAAAGACCGCGTCCCCGTCCGTCCGTACTTCTCGCAGAACATTCAGGAAGGAGACCACGTGCGGTCCCCACTACACACGTAGAACCTGGCAGTTCTTTCATTGAGCCAAACCTGTCCGGCCCAATGAAGGGACCTTGGCCCAGCGCTGGGGGCTATAAATACCCTCTGTTCCCAGAGGGTCAGGTATTCATTCTTTTACCCATACTCATACTTTTGTCTGCTCGTACTCTCACTTACTTCAGCATCGGGGTGCCTTGCAGGTACCCCCCCCATCTCGTTCAAACTTCAGCTCGGAGTCAGTCGTGACGGTCCAAGTCTGATCGGGTAAGATTAGTGGCGCCGTCTGTGGGAAACTAGCTTCCCCGTCTTGCAAAACTCAAAGACCAAAGCTCAACTCAACTACCACTATCATGGCTGACCAAGCTCGCGATGAACAAAACGTCCGCGTCGTCGACACCAACAACGGCCCCGCGGACAAAAACAGACACCTTGACAACGCCGACAACTACGGTCACAACACCATCCCTGCATCAACTGCCCCGGACCTTCAACCTACCGCGACGGAGCTACTGCATCGTCTTCCTCGGTCCCTCCGCCACTCGAAGAGGACGAGGTAGCTCTCGCGAACTACCGGGCTGCCCAGTTTCAGGAAGTCCCCGTCCCCGCCGGGGCGGACGCCACGACTGGAGCGTTGTTCGCAGCGATCAATCAAACAAATTATCTCATCTTCGCCCAAGGGGAAAGACTGAGGGCGCTTGAAGACGACCGAAGACCCCCGAGGAGGCATCGGAGGCCCCAGACTCCACCTCCTCGAGTGACTGAAGTCCAACTCCCGTCTCCCCCGCGGAGACATTACAGAGAAACCTCTCGAAGCCAGTCACCCCGACCATCGGGGAAACGACCCCCTTTGGAGAGGCAACCCATCATCCAAGCCGGAGGACGTGGTCGCGACCCGGCGAGACATGAAAGAAGACACTCCGGAGACGGGCGTGTAAGAATCAACCAACGAGCACCACGCTCGAAAGAGGCCCAGCACGACCAGGACCGTCGTGCCCGACAATATTACAGGTCCCCATCTCTGTCTCCGGAGAGAAGCGACGAGGACGACCCCCGTGGTCCCCTGTCGCAAGCTATCATGGAAGCGCCCATCCCCCCGGGCATGGAGAAACCCCCGCACTTGAAGGAGTACGATGGAGTCGCGGACCCGGTCGACCACATAGACGGGTTCGAGGCTATGCTGCATTACCACAATGTCGGGGGGCCCATCAAATGCCCACTATTCCCCACGACTCTCAGGAAGGCGGCAATGGACTGGTACAAAGGACTCGCCCCGGGCTCAATCACCTCGTGGCGAAACCTGAAAAACCACTTCATCAGTTCATTCACGGCTTCTCGGAGGCATCCAAAGACCGAGGCGGCTCTCGAGGCCATCATCCAAAGACAGGATGAAACCTTGAGGGAGTTCATCAATCGCTTCAACCGGGAAGCTATACAGGTCCCCTGCGCGGACCATATGAAGAGATATCTGCTGGAGAGGGGGCTCCTCCCCGGCACGGAATTCAGAAAAGCCGTGGGCATCAAGCCACCCAGGACATTCGACGCCCTCCTCGAAAAAGCTCGGGCATACATGGACTACGAGGAGAGGGAAGCGGCCAACAAAGCCCGAGACCCCAGGACTCGCGGGTCCAACAACAACTCGCGCCAGGAAGCTCCTCCTCCTCGACGAACCGGGGAGAAAAGAAAAGAAGACAGACCCCGGGAAGTCCGAGAACAAAGGGGACCCTCGGGGAATTTTACCGAGTACACTCCGGTCACAGCTTCCCGCGAGCGCATTTTGGCGGAGTGTGCCAGCACTGACTTCAAGGACGGCGGTGTCAAACGTCTCCGCCCTGCTCCCGCCAAGCCCGGAGCAGACAAGAACAAATATTGTCAGTACCATAGGAGCCATGGTCATCTGACTGAGGATTGTGTCCACCTCAAGGACGCCATCGAAACCCTCATCAAGGGAGGGAGGCTCGCACAATACCGACGAAGTGACGCTCCCCGTCGTGACGCATAGGAGACAAGGGAGCCGGAGGAAGATGCCCGACTATCTGACGAGTCGGTCCCCATCCAGACCGCCTTCGCCGTGACCAGGCCCGAGGACTTCGAGATCCCCGAACACCTGCAGGAGCCGCTCACAACGCACAATAGGTGGGAATATTTCCCCTCCGCCATGGTCATCAACGGCGGCGAATTCAACGACTTGACCATTAATTCGGCTAAGAGGAAGCTGGACAAACTGGTCGACGCGGCGCCCCCGTAAACAGTGACGTTTGAAAGGGTGAAGGGCAGGTCAGAACCCATCACCTTCTACCTAGAAGAGCTCCCCGGCGGAGCCCCAAACGCGGTCATCCCCTTACTGATAAGGGCAAGAATGGCCAACTTTGATGTGCATCGCATCCTCGTCGACGAAGGAAGTTCCGTCGACGTAATGTACAGCCAACTGTTCCGAACTCTACAGTTGGACGACTCACATCTCTCGCCATATGTAGGGTCGGACTTACAAGGTTTCAACGGCTCGACCTCCAAGCCTTGGGGGTATGTCGAGCTCCTGGTTACATTCGGCGAAGGAACAACGACAAGACAAGTCAAAATACGCTTCCTCGTCATCGACTGCCCGTCTCTGTACAACTGCATCCTGGGGAGACCAACACTGGCAGAACTGACAGCGGTGCCCTCGACCGTCCACCTGAAGATGAAATTCTACACCAAAAGGGCACGGGTAGCTACTATCCAAGGAGACCTGGCCGCTGCTCGGAGGTGTTTCAACGTTGCATTTAAGGGACGCGACACTGTCGACGTCGGGACAAGGCCCGCCAAAAGAACACGACAGGAGCCCGACAAGCAGGAGTCCGTCAAAGAAGAAGTCCAGAAAGCTCCACCGAAGGTCGACTCTATAGCTCTGGACGCTCGTTTCGACCAAGACGAACCTCCCAACGGCGAGCAAGTTCCACTCCGGCCAATACCGGACGGGGATTTTGAGCTCGTCCCCCTCGGCACCGACCCGACCAAAGGAGTGAAGATTGGCAAGAATCTCCCCGACCTGGCAAGGAAGCAAATCAAGGCCTGCCTGCGCGAGAATGCTGACCTGTTCGCCTGAAGCGCCGCGTCGATGCCCGGACTCGACCCTGAGGTCGCCTGTCACCACCTCGCCATAGATCCTGCCGCTAGGGCCGTAGTACAACGTAGGCGTAGGCAGTCTCCAGA